AGATTCAAAATGCCTAAAACCTTACAAATGTTTCATGTTTTTCAAATTTAGTGGTTTGCTGAAATATATTTAAAGGTTAGCACGAAAGAAACAATTAAAATAAGATATTCGAGTCTTGTATCAAAATGAATCGTTAACAAGAGACTAAGACTTAAATAATGAGTAAGTCATATAAGGATTGGAAAGACTCGGGCTTTATGAGGCATTCAAATTTGTCTTTGATATATTCAAATATTTCTTGTGACACTTGGAAAACTTTAGTGACAAAAAAATGTTTTGCAACATTCCAAAATGTCTTTTGACAGTCATTAACTTCTCTTGAAATTAAAATTTTCTCTTGACAATCAAAAATACCTCGCGACATCAAAAATGTCTGGTGGCATTCAGAAACGTCTGGTGACATTCAAAAATTGTCTCGTGACATTCAAAAATTGTCTCGTGACATTGAACATGTCTTGTGACATTCCAAAATACATTCTTTGTCTAATATTTGTCAAAACCAAAGTGTATGAAAAGTAAAATTATAATTCATCATAGACATGTGCATTGAAATATTTTGTACTCACAATGATCCAAAATCAGGCCCGTCCCTGAGGGTGGGCGATAGGGGCGACCGTTCAGGACCCTTATTTTTAAAGGGGCACAAAAATTTTATGGATTTTAATAATGATATGTTAGAAAATATCGATCGTGAAGATATCATTAATAATTTTACATCTCAAAAAGCTAGGAAAAGTATTGTTCTTACAAAACACAAACACCTTTTACCTACAAGGTGTTGATCAACCCCTAAAGAACTTAAAATAAATGGTTATCATTGTTTTAGGGAAAAAAAACCTTTTATGATTGTTTTGGTCAAAAATTACACAAGTGAAACTCAACCAAATTGCATGAGAGGTTGTGATGTTCAGGGTAAAGCAAGTACAAGATGATGATCAAAGTGACACAAGTGGTTTACAAGGAAAACCCTTTATCCTTGCTAGGATCATCAGCATAAACCTTGGGAGGTGATAATGATCACCTGCCTTGATGATTTTATTGATTAAAATTGTTGATTACAGAGATTAATGTGTAAATGTAAGTACAAGTACCGTAAATGAGCTAATCGTGTGTCTAGTGTGTGTAATACAAGTGTTATTTATAGTCTAATGCCAATAACAAGAAGTCTGATATTTTCGGGATCCTCCGAGATCAGCCTATAGACGTTATTTGACTTGGTATTTTGAGTCTTTTGCTTGGTCAAGATGATTCTTCATTGAGAATACGTCTTTAGTTGCCTATTTTTGCACATGTGAGAAAAATTAAAGAAGAATATAACCGTTATAGATGTTAGGAAAATAAATGATAATAATCAAGATCCTAAAGTATGTTTAAGGATCCTAAGGCTTTAGAAATATTGAGGATCCTGAATGTAATTTTGGGATCCTGGTCCTAACAATTGCCCCCAAATTATTCATGCGAAATATTTGAGGTTAGTTTATCCAATATTTAAAGGGATAATTTAGGTAAATTTAAAATTAAAAACAATTCAGAGAAAGAGATAGGAAATTTGAATTTCAAATCTTAATCGGATAGGATTTATCCGCTCAAGAGTAATCATTGCTCAGTCAAATCATATCTTTTTTCTTCTGCGGCTAGGTTAAGTAGGGTGAGGAATCGTGATTTTCTTTCACCTTCTTTACCATTCCCTCCGGTCATCCATAATCGCCTTCAAAGGTAATCATGCATGTAATCGGGAGGATTTTGTCTTGGATTGACCGAGTAAATCTTTCCCATGATCAAGAGATGGGTCTTCCTGAGTTGGCTTTCGTTTATGAATTAACTTTCTACCCTTGGAAATTCTTGTTTCTTACTCAAGCTCAAGCACAATCAGTACCCTTTGATTCTGAAATCGAAACACAATGACGGAGCCTCGAAGGAGAAGTATTTTTTTGTAAGGCGTGATTCTATCGTTGGCGGAGAGTTTTTGCCTAAAACTTGGGCTAAAAAGGGTAGGGTTTGTTTGTTGGTTTTGAGGATGACATGTCTAGTGGTTTTCTCGCTATGAAGAAGGAAAAGATCCCACCTTCTACTCCTACCAAGAAGACTCAGCTTGACCTTCCTATGAAACCTTCCTCATCTCGTAAGAGAAAATCTTCCGACATCTGGGATCTTGAAAATCTAGGGACAAATGAAGCACTAAGGAAGCTGATTTCTTTCTCCTAATTTGTAAGTGTTTTCGTGTTCCCCTTGTTGAAATTTGATTTTCTACTTATTGTTGCTTTTTACAGGTGGCTGATCATGTCTCTCATTCTAATGAGGATTCCAAAGAAAAGCTTGCTTAAACAGAGCGTGCCTTGCGGGAGAAAGAGGAGATCAACAAGGAGCTTCTACAGAGGGTGGAGATGTTGTTCAAGGAAAAAAGTTGATAACGAGGAGGAACATGCGGATGAGATGGATAAGGTCATAGTTGAGGCGAAAGCTAGTGTTGCGGTGGTTGTTTGGGAGACGAAGATCAAGCTTGCAGAGGATCTGGAGAATGAGGGATCCTGGAACATGGACGGATGGTGTGAGGCCCTGGCCAAGTTGACTAGCAAGCCTGTGAAAGCTAGTCAGGATCCTGCATTGCAGCTGAAGGAGGGATAAGAGAAGGATAAGACAAAGGTGGTTCCGGGTGGTGGCGATCAATCTGTAGTTTAAGATTGATTTGGTTTCTTTAAAAACAATTTGAATGTATTTGGGTTTGTAAGAAAATATTATTACTTCCTTTTTTGTGGGGTTGGTGGGCAACCACTTTTAATGTTATGGTTGTTTTATACTTCTTTGCATGCTTGATTGAATTGTGTGGTTGTAGCAGTAGGATTTTCGAGGATCCTTATAACTAGGATCCCAAAGAGTTCATGATTTACAAGAATTCTTAGGATCTAAATAACCTGAAAGTGGTTAGTAACCCATTTAGGATCTCAATATAGTTGAGATCCATGATAAATCTTCAATCATCGCATAAGAAAGACAATTTTTTAGTAATAAGGATAGATAGAACCTGATTATCCTTATGCTTCGTGATCTTTAGGATTCACTTTCTTTTAACTTAGGAGAAGTGTAAAGTTACGATTCTCTTAGTTCCATATGGTCCTGAAGTTCGTATGTGGAAAGATCCTTGCTTTAAGAGTTCATCAAGCAGGATCCTTGATTGTCTTCAACTTAGTAAACTTTAGGGAGGATCCCACCTTAGGAATCAATTGGAAATGACTCCAACTTGGGAAATAACTGAGAAAACTCATGTTTTGTAGCATGGTAATGCTACGAGTCTTGCATAATTCCTGGGGGTTATCACAATTCAAGGTAACACATAAGCGTTAAGAACCTTAACAAATTACTAGGGAAGATCTCAAATGGTATGCTAACATAGAAATGTTATAAACCTTTACTTTTTTTAATTTTTATACACAAAATGTAAACTCTTTACTTTTTTTAATTTTTATACTCTTTTTGTATATTTTTACAACCTTTTAAACATAAGTATTATGTTAGTACTAACAAAACATCAAAGAAACGAGAGCATTGGATAGGAAATCTAGAATGAAAAGTACAACATTCGTTACTATAATCTCAAACAAGAATCGAGATGAACCCGAAGATAGAAACCTCTTGTCTAGACGGATTTCATCAATTTTCTAGTTGTTCCTCTTAAACTATGAGGACTCGCGAAGGGGTCCAAGATAGGCAAGATGGGAGGGACAACCTCCCTGAAAAGTAAATAGCAAGTTGTCCCCTCCTTAATATTTCTCGAGTACCTCGGTACTAAATCTTTTAAGAATAGCTTATATAGTCATGAATCAATTCAAATCCATTGACTTTTTATTTATCTTATTTTTTAGATCTGAGTGGAACAATTGATAAGTATGAAGACTTTGGAAATTCATATCGTTATAGGTAGAATATTTATGTCCCAACACCTAAATCATGAATAATCTCTCTATTCTAATAAATGAATAGGTTTATTCTCATATTGACAAGTGTCATACTATTAGAACTCCTCATTAATATTATGTGTAAAATATCATGATACTTCGCAACCTATTAATTATCAATTTCAAATTTTAAATTTTAAATTTCTCACTTTAATTATATTAAATTAATAATTGATTCTCCATTTTAAATTTTAAATTTTAATTTTTTCATTCTAATTATATTAAATTAATAAAGTTAGATTAAAAAATAAAATAAAATTAATACAGATTATAAGTTGATATAACTTCACATATTTATTTAAAGCAGCGATTATAATTTTATATAACTAAAAAAATATCTGTTAAGTAATAATTTATTTATAAACGTTGTTCTCACGTGTTATAAACTAGTGAAACATAAAGAAGAGTATACCATGTTGGAACATATCAGTTCTCCTAATTGACTACTTATCATAATGAACATTTAAAAGCTAAAAAAAACCCTTTCTTTGAATTGAAGCTTAGCTTTCACTATAGAGAATTTTTAAGTAGATGTTCCTTGAAATGGTTGATCTTTTGAAAGCTTTGGTTGCTAGGGTTGGTTTTGTTGTCTAGATTTTGCAAGCAAGGCTTGAAGTGATTCTCTTGCCTCTAACCGCCTAAACCCGCTTTGGTGACCCACCCCAAGTCGTTCTCACAGTAGTGCCCAGAGAACCAGGCTTGCTTAAGCTAGCTTACCATAACAAGTCTTTTTTTTTTATTGATTGCACGAGCTAGTCAACAAAATTCACGGCGTTTAATCGCTTAGTTTAAGCATCTACCGGCACTAAAGTGATTACACTCATGTTTCTATAATGAGAATCTTTTTAAGCTATTTTTACACTTTTATATGAAACTTTTTATATTTTTTACAACATTTTTCTAGTCTTTTTAAAATTGTATCACAATATATTTTTAATCTTATTTTTATACTTTTATACAACTTTTCTATAATATTTTTTACCTTTTTCTTACAACCTTTTTTAACATACAATCCGAATGGTTTGTTCCTTAAAAAAACGTTAATAACCCTAAAATAAATTAGAACCTTTTCAAACAAAATTCTTACATTCTTCACAAAACATATAAAAGAAGGCTTTACATATGACATCAATGTATCCGCATGCTATGGTCTAGACTTTACGTGCAAATGCAATTTTGGTAAATGTTTCTTTTTTGTTCTTTTTTATACGATATTTCCATAAACATAACAAGTCAACAACGCTCTGATACTATATTTTAAAATCTTTTTCCTCAGAGCCTTTTTCATACGTCATAATAATTAACGTTTCATTTCCATAGAAGCAAATTCTGGCATCACGACTCCACCATTTTGCCTCTCCATATTTCCATGCCATCCTGAATATATTGCAAAACGAATAAGAATTGGAATTATTTTCTTTTATGTAAATGTAAAGTTTTACTTGTTAATTTGAGATTTAAGAAAACTAATTACCAAGAGACATGTCAAATCCACGATATTTTAGCTCACGATACTCTTGACACATTGCACATGGCTCACAACAAAAATGGACAAGACAAGACAATCATTGCATGGCTCCTCAGGTAACAAGTATTGTTGTCGCATTTTAGACCGATACATACAAGAATATATCCATTGACATCCCGTGAGTACAAGAAGTATTGTGTAAAGAGTTCCATGTACAGCACATGCTCTTACAAATAAAGAGAACCGACAATAGTCATCAAATTATTAAATAGGGATGGGAAAAAAACCATACACGATGAGGAGCCCGAAACCCACACAGTTTGACCGGGGATTGAGAATCCTTAACATAAAAAGCGGAAATGGAGATACCCGTGATCCCCGATCTTGGATTCGGCCTCGATAGATATTAATATATAAAAATAATACAAAACATATAGTTATAGTAAATTTTACATACCTAAAAGTTGATCCAAATATCCCTACTTACTCATTAGTAATTATTTGGTTAAGTTATACATGTCCTTCTTCGTTTATCTAATTTAACATCATATATAATTTCTTTTTGTTATTGGTTTATCTATTCTTACCTCAAATAGCACTCTGAGATTTATTTGATGTTTATTCTTGATTACTTTTTATGTTTAATGTTAAAAGTTCGATTCCTACTGTGACCAAATTTGTGCTCTCAATAAAGAATATCAAATACTAATCTCACATCAGGGATATGTTTATGTTTGGCATATACAATAAAAACATCACTCTATGTGTGTTACAACTTCTTATTCAACTATGTTCATGCTATAATATATTCAATCATATCATATATACTATTATAGCTAAAGTTGCTTGATTTTCCATTTATGTATTTAAATTTGGATATTGAAAAGTTATTTATAGTTTTTATGCAATCTAGCTATGAATGCTTTTTTTTTTATTTTTTTTAAAATCTTTAAACTTATGTTAGTAAAATTAAAATTTGGATTTTTTAATTTACATAAAAGTTTTCGTATTATAATAGAAATACAAATTCCTTATTTCCCGTTGGAAGGGGTGGGGATATGGATGAGAATAAGGATAGGAATTGGAGTATCCCGTACACTCAGTGACCTTGTTCCCATCCCTATTCAAGAATTGTTTCAATTCTGGATCAATTTAAGTAAAATATTATAATGGTTGTCTTTTCAATAACATATATAATTTTTCGTACACAAGAGGCATTATATTTTATGTAAAAATATCGATATCTACTACAACCAGCAATAACAATGATTTTGAACATATTTTAGAAATGTGAATGAAAAATAAAACATTGTAATTAATGTAATTAGTCTAACATTTCATTTTTATAACAGATCGCCGGCCGGTTCTTGTTGATAGTTAGACGAGCAATATGATATTATTTTCTAGAAACAAAAGCCTCATTGTGATATTTTGAAGAGTTGATCACTTTAAAATCTTATATCAAACTCGAGCATATATATATATAAACACTTACAGGTACTTCCCTTGTCTGCTATCTCAGCAATTTGTCCGAAAGGAATACAAGGGCACCAACATGTAATGCAACCTGTAGTTTTCAGAAAGAGTACAAAACGTTAGTAAAGTTAACGTGTTTAACGGGTTTGTTTTTACTTGCACAAAGTATTTAGCTGATAGCTATAAGCCACAAGCTTACAATTTGAGACATCTGAGTCGCATTCACAAAGACCTGTAGACCATTGGCCGGCAGAGACTATGGATGGAGTTGGAACACCGGTGGAATATTGTGCTGGAGGTGATGTGGACGGTGAGTGGCCATGTGATGGTGGTTGATATTCATCCGAAGAAGACATGATTGAAGATAGATTAGGTTGCTCTGCTTGAATTAATGCTGACCAAGGATTAAAGATTATTAATATTCAAAGGAACCAAGTTGGTGGTGGGTGTTCATGGAGTCAAGATAAGGTAATCGTCATGTATTGATGGAATAGTAAAACACTAATTATTGTAATTTTTTTTCCAAAAAATGAGATACGTAAGATTGTGTATATAGTTTATATCATTTAAAGCAGTGGGTGTAAGCAACTAGTTAAAGGATGTTATCATACCTAAAAGATGTCACCTCATATGTCATGTCAAAATGGTATTATAACATCAAATGGAGAAAATAAGTTATAACATTTTTAACTTTTCATGTCATCATTTTTTTTTCTTTTTTTTTCTGTTTTTTTTTCAATTTATTTATTTTTTATTGTTTTTTTTTTCATTATATTTTTTTATCACATTGGATTGAAAAAAAAACATTAAAGACCCAAAAAAAAAACACAAAGTTGAACGCAAAAAATAAATAAATAAAAACATTGTCCTAAAAACTAAAAACCGATCAACTAGTCATCCAAATATTGTCTTTCGATTTTCTCATTCATCTTCTGGAGCACTAGCGCTTATCCTGGTCCTATATTTGCTTCGCTGGTCTGGAGAATTGTTAAATCCTTCGTCATTTGATCTTTCTCCGCTTGCTTACGAAGAAACTCCAAGTGCTCACGTTGTACGTCAACCTTTTGTTGGGCAATCAGATTGTGTTGGTCGAACTTTGCTTTCATTTCTGCCAACTCTTGTGCCCTTCTATCAATTTCGTCTGCATGGCGTTGAGCACATTTCATTTGTCGCGTCCGACCGGTCGACGTGGGGGGGAGATCTATTCGATGTTCGTTTGTGCGTCGGAAACGTCAAACGAACTAGAATTGTGAGACCTCTTTAATTCTGCTTCCCCCTAATGTTAGCGTCTTATTCCATTTTTGGATCTAGCCTAACAATCTCCCATATTTTTTCAAACTCGAAAGCGTGACCCATTTCCACTTGATATTGTTCCCTCGCGGCTTTGTAAACATCAAAATCTCATTAAAGTGCATCGGCGACTGATCGGAGTCCATTTGTTGCTAAACATGTCGATATTCTGATATGGTTGTTTCTTCATAAGTGTGTTGAATTTGCCGAACACGACTTCCCAAAACCCAACTCTTCGCATATCATTTCCTACAGTTGGATTCTTTGAAGTTCCGCACCACGTCACCGCCAAAGCATACTCCTCCTCCGCTGTCCACCATAGTGGAGGTTCTTCTTCCGTATCCGCGACTGCCATCCCTTTCCTTTTCCCTTTTCCTTTCCTTCTCCCTTTCCGACTGCCTCCCGCTTGTGTTTCAGGAACAATTTTTGGTAGTGGTTGTGTGGTTTTTTGTTGCATGGAAGTGAAAGCACTGAAAATGTTTTGTTGAAGATTTGGGTTTTGATGCATGTAAGGGGATGTAGGAAATTGCATTGGGTGAGTTTGAGGTGAGCATGTTCATGTAACTTTCGTATTGTGCGAAACCCATTGGGATGGATGTATTTGTGTTTGGAGGCGGGGTGTTAGGGTTTTTGCTCCATATTTGGTTGAAAGGAAAAATGGGTTTTTTTTAAGTTGAAAATAGATTGAAGATAAGAAAAGATTGATCGGTAAAATTTTATGTTTGTATGTGTATTTATAGGTAAAATAAAAAAAATTTAATTTTTTTTTAACATATTACCGTTCAACAACGGTCGAATATTTGACCGTTCCACGCGTCATGAGAAGTTACGAGGGCAACGAAGGACAACGGGTAGCCTCACACCGGACGAAAAAGAAAAAAAAAGGGGGGGGTGTTTCACTGTTAACACGCCGTTGACCGTGTCCCACGTCAAAAAAACGGCTGCGGTCGTTGCCCACACCGTTTAGTCTTAAACAATGCTAAATGGGCATACAATCGAATGTAGAATGTTTGCATGCTATGAATTTACATATTTTTTCTAAAAGTAGACATCGAATAAGTACGGTTCAAAATAACAAATTCCCTTTTAACATATTAATTTGTTTTTCACAAAACCAAACTTTGAATCAGCTCTTCCAGGATTGGTGGATCTGGACTCAAAATCGATCACAACGGTTCTAATAAGAATCATTTTTGTTAACGATTACATTTTCAAAATTTTGAACTAAATTTTACTAAACATTTGGAAGTAGGGGTGTGCAAAAAAATCGCAAAACCAAAAAACCGAGCCGATCCGGCCAACCCGAAACCAAAATAAACCGAAACTGAAAAAAAAAACCAAAACCGAAATAAACCGGGTACCTACGGGTCGGTTTCGTTTTGTGTATTTAGATATCCACGGATACCGGAACCGAACCGTCATATATATATATATAT